GTCATTGACAGCAATATATTTAAAAAGAAAACCACGATCTCCATTACCAACCCTGGAAATTACTGGTCCCTTAGGCATTTTCTCTTCTCGTAGTTTTACAGSTTCAGATTTTTGGTTTTTATTCAAAATTTGCGCTTCATGTGAATGTAGTGGCTTTCCGCGGTAACTCACGCTTACCGCCACGTATCACAAAGCTTGACACTTGACACATGTGTAGCACCAAATTAAAACATCRTCTTCGGCAGTRTATGCCCACAATTGGGGAATAAAATTGTTCGTCTTGTGTGAGTCCATTGGATTTGCGTATCGCTTCGAAGTCTATAACGACGCTGGCGTTAACATCTTTTTACCAAGTCAGCCGGATCTCGGAAGTACTGTAAATGACGTTATACCACTATCACAAACAATACCTGATTTTGCTAATCACATCCTCTACATCGACAATTTCTATATATCGTTACCTTTGTTGGTATATTTACGTGCAAGGGTCTACAGTTTGGGCACGATACGAGCCACGATACGAATACCAAAATGGAAGTTTCCGTTCGATAAGGATGTAAGGACGAAAAAAGAGGCTACTCAATTGAGTACGTGAGTACTGCATATGATGTCRATATTAACACGATTTTGTAGAAAGACAACAGACAGTTCGATTGGTATCAACTTACATTTTATACAATAAGTTGCTCATACGACAGGGTGCACTCTGCTCAGTACACTTCATGTGCATTGCACAGGGAAATTTTGAAAAATATATTTTTGTTACTTTAAATGATCTCAGTCATCAMGCGTTAAAAAAAGCACTATTCATTGATTGAGCACATAACGGTTACAAGAAGACTAAAACATTAAGTAACATAACTGAAAAGCAGTCTTACAAAATTCAAAAATTATACACTTTTGCTCGGTTGCCACCCAGTTCCGCCTGCAACAACACACTGACGCTTTACTTTCAGTGCGTAAATAAAACATTTAGAACATTGTCCTTCGAGCAATACAAAAACTTCTTAATGAAGTGACTGAGTTACCAAAAGAATTTTGCAACTTTTAAGCGCAGTTAAGCAAGAGAGAACTCAATAAAATCATACTGGACCCTAAAGTGCCGCGGCACTCGCAAACACGCAAGCTTATTTTATGGAAGTGAAATACGAAACGGATATTTCTCAGTAGTTTCTGCTGGCGTAACTCGTATATACAGAAGAAAATTTTAAATGGAACTTGCGATTTTGGTATGTGTGCAAGAGAAATATTTGTCGATTCGAAGGAACGTCATAAATTGAAGAAATATTAAAATTAAAATATAAAAAAAAACAATATTTTCCGCCAAGTTTTTATAACTTGACCAAAACAAGCCTGAACCCATGAAAAAAATATATAAAATATTTAGCATATTAAAATTTAAGTTATGACTTGTTGCTTCTCTGACTAGTAGACAACAACAAAATCTTCGGCAAAACCAGTACTCTCGCATTTCGGCCGTCAACTGACTTAATACCAATTTACTAAATAACTAAATACTATAAAAATTGTAAATTTGATTAATCTAGTTGATAATCACTTAAAAAAAAGGGGTAAAAACAACTTAACTCAAAATTAATGAAAATTGTAACTGCGTATACGGTATTAATGTTTTACTGCACAGCAACAACTACCCTCAAAAGCAACGAAAAAACAAAGAGAGCTTAACACAAAACTGGCAAAAGTTGAACTGCAACCAATGAAGCAACAAATCCGCGCTGCGCGCTAACTTCCCCCCGGTTTTTCCATATACMTACATATGAATACATATATTTATATGGTATACATATATTCGTTGATGCAGCTATCAAAAGCTAAAGTTTTTACGCAGCGCTGCTTAGCGCTTTCAGKAGCACAACACACACAACCTCTCGTCGCTCTCTCTCTCCTACACTCGCTACAACACAACGCACTCCGCTTGCTGGCCACCAACGTGCATGGCGTGCGCGCGGCGGTAGTGCACACGACATTATTGCATTTGATTTCCGTTTGTTATTAACTTGTCCGGCTGTTGGGGAAGTGCATGGCTAGAGGAGTAGACAGCGAACAGCAAGCATTTGGGTTGATTGTTTGTGTTGTTTTACTTTCCGGTTGCATCGTTGCCACCGCAACATCCGCCAGTTGCCTGTTTATCGGCTGCAACACCGGCGGCATCCGTTGCACTGCCACCACCACMACCTGCCGCAGTTGTGGCGCCCATCGCCGCACCGCCACCACCGCCAACCGACTCCTTCACGGTGAATGTGACGTAGTACCGTTTATTACTGTCCAACTTGTCCGAGGGCAATGAAATAAGTTGTTTGCTCTTGCCATGCGATAGCTCCARCGCAACTTTGCCGCCACCACAACCGCCACTGCCACCCGTGCCGCCGCAACCGCCGCTGCTCAGTATCTTCGGCAGATAGAAACTCCCCACACCGGTCTTCTTGTACGCRCCAAAACCGAACTTCGGCATTGTGTGATGGTTCATCATGGGTACTGCAAAAGTAAGAAATGCGTTAAATTTATAAATAACAACAACTGCAACTACAATGTATATAAACAACAAACAGCTATAGATGTTAGTCGAGCATTTACTCACGCAAATATAAATAGAAAGTTGAGAAATTTCTTAGCTAATTAAAGTGCAAAAAAGTGATTACAACGAATTTTACACAAGATTAAGTCATTTGGCGAATTCGCTGAGTAATTAATGAGTGACCGTGAGCGCGAGTTGATAAAATGGCACCGTCTCCACAAGCGCTAGCTGTCAAAGCAGCAAAATGTAGCGAAGAAGTTGTTTGATTTTGACGAGATTCTTGTTACGTGAACGAGAAACAAGAGTGGAAAAATAGCAGTACAAACACAAATAAAAACAAAGAAAGTTTTAGCAAAATATTTGATTTTAAACCAGGGTTTCTTCCGTAGAGCAAATAAACGAAGATTAAACCAAGCAGTAAGTAAAAGACAGACGGAGACTGAAGAAATGTCGGAGGATGTAGAAGAAGTTGTAGGACAGTAACAATGACGACGTCCATTAAAACCTCGAAATAACTTACAACAAATCAAACAATAATTAATAATTTGATATTCGCGGTTTTAAATTATTTGTGCTCTAGAGAACTAGACCGCCACGAAATAACTCGAGGGAAGGATATATCTGTGTGAAGGAAGTCTTGTGAACTATGCTACTTTTCTATTTGTAAAAATTAGGTAAGTTTATTTTAACGCGCTTGATCTCCGAACGGAAAATCATAGTTGAACGAATTTTATAACCTGAAATTATATATGGCTGACTTAAGACGGGATGTTATTGGTGCTGCATCATCCGAACCTTTCACAAATACAAAAGACTCCTTACAAGAACTTTCATCGTTGAATTTACTTGTATGRCAGCTMTATGCAATAGTGGCCCGATATCTGGGCTTCCAACAAATGAGCAACACCTCGTGAAGAAAAGGACGTACTCAAATTTCAGATTGATATCTCAAACGCTGAGAGATACAGAAATACGGACCGACATGACTAAACCGGACGCAGCCCGTCCCGCTAATCTTTTATACAAAGGGTCATCCATTTCGAGGTTTACTTCTCATGTTGTTATCACCCGAAAGTACATTATTTGGCATTTAGTTTTCGAAGATAATATCTTTTAAACGCTATGACATCCGTTAAATCCAATTTTCGATGACTCTTTCGAGTAATTTCGAATTGCAACTGGTGATGATTTGTTCCAAAGTCTGAACCGAAGACTTTAGACTTTGCATATCCTCAAAGTAAAAGTTTAACGGTCTAACCCAAACATGAAAATATCGGCTTACCGAAATGTTATTTCAATAAGTTCATTGATGGATGCGATGTGTGGGAAGTGGCGTAGTCTTGTTGAAACCGAACGTTGCCGAGATTACGAAATTCAATTTCAGGCATCAAATAGTCGGTTATCAGGGAGCGATAACGGTCGCCATTGACGGTTACATCCTCAACGACATCCTTRTTGAAGAAATGTGAACCGATGATTACACCGGTCCAAAAAAAAATATCAAACCGTTGTTTTTTGTGTATGAAATGACAGGTCTTGAATCTSTTCAGTTTACTCTTTATCCCGAGTGCGGCCATTTTGCTTGTTTACATACCCATGGAGACAGAAATGAGCCCCGTCCAGATGAAATTTGGGCCGAAAGCGTCGGATCTTCAGGTAACTTTTCCGGAGAGAGCCCATAAAGCGAARMAACGTCACTTGGGAAGGTCGAGCGGCTTTAGTTCTTACATAAGCAATATTTTTTAAGCTTTTAATTTATGATCTCGGCGTAAAAATGCACCAATTTGGCCGAATAGTATCCAGTAATGAATTCTTACGTCTCAAGATTAGTGATAGCTTTCCCATCCCCTAGCAGATCTGTCTTAGTTATAGTATCTAGGAGGTAAACTTATATATTAGGTGTTGGCTCGGCTGGACAGTAATATCAATAACCAGAGTTCGAGTTTAAGTATTCAAGCACTTTATATTATCTATGCTTGAACACATCGAAGAATGTTTGTTCCCTGGTCCTGAAGGTGGCCTTCACTTTGCCAGTAATCACTGCTGATGAATAAGTATGCACAATTTCCTCACTCTAGAAAACAATACCTACTCGAGARGTATTAACAAATTAACTTATAGCARTGGTTCTTGATGAAAAGKCTTCTTGTCAATAAAKGAYTGTGCTGTGAAATTATGAAATTATGTTTATGTAGCTCCTAAAGTTCGAAAGTGTATCAATTACAACTAAGACATTGCATAAAGTCATTTGGAGTTGGAATACAAACTTTTATAAAGGGTTCTTATAAATACAATATATTCGAAAAAATACTTCCTTTAAGTACCCGATTCCCCAAAATAAGGAACTTAAAAGTCAAAAATTTTCAAAGCCCAAAGAAACAAGTTTAGAAAACATCTGCAAAAACACAAAAATATTGAGAAAACCGCTCTGAGAACCTCTCCAGGAACTTTGCTGAAGCAGACAGATAAATCACATACTTAAATGTCTTAAATTTTTGTCARCTGCTGACAAACTTTATTGCATTTCAGCAGAAACAAAACTTCAGCGCACCTCGTTTGATGGCTCCTGCAATGTCCGGCTGTGGACGAGCTGCTTCGCTTTGTGACTATTTGGGTGCATATAGTAAGCATGGGAGTATCCAAGCGAATATATGTCACACAAGAGAAACTAGTTTCATGTTTACATTCGCATTATTCGCGCTAAGATTTTCGGCTATTGTGTTGTTCCTTTTTTTATTGTATCGTTTCGTTATTTTCACTTACTTAACCGAAATAAATTGCATTTTCTGATTGTCGCCGCTCATATTGCTACGCCTTCATATACARACATATGTGYGTGTKTGTGTGAGTAAATGTGGAGCTGACATGCGCCGCATCACCGCCAGCGGTTGCTCATTCACCACTTCGTGGGTATGTGAACACTGTCAGCAAAGCAACTGTGCAACGTCAGACCATTGCATCAACTGAATATTGAAACAACAGTAGCAGCAACAACACTTCTAATGGGTTTACACAAAATTGTAAGGAATGTTCAACGCACATACATGAACACATACACATACACACGTATATACTTACACCCACACATGCATGAAACCGAAAATCGCTAAGATATTTCCTTTGCGAAAATGCAACAACACAACAATGGCGGCGAAGATCTCCACAGAGCAAGAAGCAGACTCAGAGCGACTGCGTTGGAAATTAAAGAAAAAAGTTTGCAAAAGAAAATTATAATAAAAGTTCCACCAGAGTTACATTTCGGGCTCCCCGGGGGGACGCCTGAAATATTGTATCATTCGCACGCGCTGTGGGCCAACACATTAAAACAACGGAAACAGCGACGACGGCAACAACAACAACAAACATCCCAACAACATTATGAACTACACTAGCAACAGCAACGGCCAGCTAAAATGGCAACAATGGATTTGTAAAAGTGAAAGAAAACGACCGGAAAGGAGAGCACAGCCAAAGCAGCGACAGTGACAACGACGAAATGAAAGTAAAGCAAGAAATAAAATGAAATAAAATAAATAAAATGCGAAGCAAAAGTGACATTTAAATGCGAGTAACGGCGAATTTTTAAACTTAACTGGGAGAGAAAGCGGAATACAAGGAAAGGAGATTGAGGGAATGAGTTCAAATATAAGTAGTACGCTCGTGTATGTACATATGTAGTGGTGTTGATTCTATCAGCCAGCTGGGTGGACGGATACAGAGACACAACGGTAAATGACAAATGGCGCAGTGTGCGTGAAGTGGCACACCAAAAAGACACGCAAAATGACGGTACGTTTTATCCAGCAGGCCGTAGGCTAAAAATAATAACAGGCCGATCTGGATAAAATGGCAAATTTAATCAGACGATTTGAGATGTATGACTTCTGACAAATAAATATTATATTTGGTTGCATATATGATATATGTATATGCTGATGTTATATACTGAAGAGTATATAAAATATTAGAGCGGGGCGATTTTATCGTGCAAAATCGGGTATGCCTGAAATATTCTACGGATTATTCTGAACAACTTTGCTTAAGATAATGGTCTAAACTCGGTTCCGACCAAAATATTTTTAAGGAAAATTGTAAAAAATCTTTGAAAATCGAAAATGCATTCGGCTATCTCAAAAACTGACTAAGCAATTTTTATAATTCCTAAAACAAACTTCGAGAGTTGTAGAGGAAAGCAAGATCCATTTGCAGACAGAAAGAGAGAGAGGCCAAAATGCGTGAGTATGAAGAGCCGATAATGCTCGAAAATTCTACGAAATGATGCGGCGACTAACAGCAGGTTTCAAGACCGGAGCGTACTTTTGTATAACCCAAAGAGGTGATCTTGGAACCGATGCTCAGAGCATATTAAAATTATGGAGGGAACACTTCTCCAGGCTGCTGAAAGTAGTAGTGACAGCATAACGCCAGGAGAAGCTGAACCCGATTACCCAATCGCTGACGATGGAGCAGACGTTCCATTGCCCGAACATGAAGAAGTTTGAATAGGAATTACCCGTCGGCGAAGAACTGATGAGGGGCATGCATCAGCTTCTTTAGGAAATATACCACTGTCAACAAAATGATTGGATCTCATCAGTGTACGCCTAGGCCAAGAAAATCGACAACTAGATATTCACCGTGCCCTATATCATGGAAAAGACCCATAAAAAGAGAATCGATACTCATCACCTCGTCATCGATGTAAAGTTGCTCTGCCTCGAAATCCAACGCAGAATCATTCTTGCTAACAGGTATTACTACGGACTGAGTAGGCAAATGAGAAGTGTAGTTCCACTCGACGAACAAAAACCAAACTCTGCAAGTCCCTCCTCAATCCCGTCCTGCCATATGGTGGAGAGGCATGCACAATGACATCATCTGATGAGTCGACCATAGGAGTGTTCAAGAGAAAGTTTAGCGGATGATTTATGGTCCTCAAGTCGATGGAACGATCAAATGTACGAGATAAAAGGCGACATTGACAAAACAAGAGAAAGTGGCTGCACCGGCTAGGTCATGTTATCCAGATGGAAACGAACACCCCATCTTTGATGGTTTTCGATTTCATAACCGCCGGTGGAAGCAGAGAGCAGGTGGAAAATTGCCTGCACTTGGTATCTCGAAATGGCGCCAAATAGCGAAACGAAGAAACGACAACGGCACTGTTGTTTACTAAGCTATAAAGTGGTATCTACGCCAAAAAAAGATGAAGAAAGGTTAATAATAAACAACTTCTCATAATTAGACGTTTTTTATTGTCGCGCACGTGTAGGCAAAGTCAACTGGTTTGCGGTTACAGGCGGCGCGCCTTTACAAACAAACAGATTAAAAGTGACGTAGCTGGACGAGCCTATAAAGTGCGACCACAGTCTACAAAAATACCTTTACCGTTTCGTTAAGCCCCAAATGCCAAGTGCGACTATCACACCTAGAGCACGCTAATAACTGTCTCTTATACACATCTAGATGTGTATAAGAGACAGCTACAAAAATACCTTTACCGTTTCGTTAAGCCCCAAATGCCAAGTGCGACTATCACACCTAGAGCACGCTAATAACAAACCGCCACAGCCGTTGACTGTCTCTCCAAARGACGCCAAACAATGCCTACAGTGCGACGCACCACACGCGGAAGACGAAAGACGTGCCTTTACTTCGTCTTTCGTCTTCCGCGAAAGGCCTCAAAGTCACTGCAAGTGCGGCAACTGGCTGCTTAACCCGCACAGCAAACTGACTTTAGCAGCTCAAAAGTACCTGCTCCCCGCTGTCTTCGGCCCCAACACTTCCAATCTTTGCAAACTAATTTCCTCGTTTTCGTTCTCGCTCTCCTTTGCTTCTTTCTCAACTTAATCTAAAGCAAACGCCTGTCATTCAAGACTTTCCGCCTTCCATCAAATTCAACTCGCTGCTGCTCTTGTTGCTGTTGTTTAGGTCTCATCCGCAGCGCATCGCTTGTGTCTTCTGTCACCTGCATTCTATTTAAATTTTAATTCTCGCTTAATKAGTCACTTTTCTCTGCTGCTGGCCCTTTAACCTTGCTGCAGTCGCTCCTTGCTTCCTTCCGCCGCATGGCCTCTAACAACGGCGTTGTCGGGATTTTGTCGCCCGGTTTTGTGCCGTCCTCGGCCGCTTGCTTCAGCTGCGCTCAAAGGAGTTATGTTCTCGACTTTATTTTGTGTAAGCGGCCCGATTAGAAGCTTGTCAAGCTCAACTGCTTTGTCTAACTAAGTTTGCTTGCGAAATTAAACAAAAAGGATATGCAATACATACAGACTTATAGTATATACATACATATATACAGTTACAGTATATAGCTGCGTGCATAAAATGAATATTTAAAATGGTCGTCGGAGATTTTGAAGCTGTTTTTGTTTTCAAATATGATAAGCTTAATAACAAGCCGCAAAATAAAATGGTGATAAATTTGTTTAGGACCAACTTTAAAGTGGCAGCTACTGAGAAGCTAAAAATACAATTCTGTCCCTTTTCTTTGCGGCGCTTTTCTTTCAGCRGCAAACACATATTTAACTCGCATTTCATTCAGCAAAAAGGTATTTCTCTTATATTTTATGACACGAGCAGGAAGTTTGATGAAACTGAGCAGCATTTGTAAAATGTTTTTGGATTTTCTTGTGTTTATTTGGATCTCAATTTAAAGTGGTTTCCGTGGTTTTACTTGATCAAGCTCAGAGTATTTCAAAGAATATAAAAATATCAGGTATGAATAAAAAAGGGCGGCGAACTCAAAGCTCCAAATCTAGTTTCAGAAATTAATGTTTCGTACCCGACTAAATCTTAAATTCAATTAGGAATAGCTGATGAAGAAAGACAAARCTTCGCATGATAGTGACAAGAAGTCTGCAGAATATATATCAGCTCTTACGCAAACTATTTTCGAAACAAGGCATTTCCCAAAAGCAAAGTTCCAACATACACTGCATATTGCAAAACAAAAAAATGCGATAACAGCGCCTAGCAAAGAGTTTACTAGATATGAGTGTAACAAGCTGTTTTGTTGACAGTATTTGGCTGGCTTAACTGGGATGTTTTAGTGTATGTAAAGTTGGCTTCAATAGAAACCTGGGAGAATAACTTGTTGCAGTTTTTCTCCGAGAAAACGGGAAAGTTTTAAATGAAAGTTAATAAATGGAATAATGTCTCTGGCGGAAAAATTTAGTTCATTAAAGTTCATTATAAATATAAAAAAATAAGTTGAAATTTGAATAGAAATMCGAAAGGAAAATCCTAATATTTATAAATACTGTAATATTTTGAACAGTAAAGTCCATCGCAATTAATGATACAAGTGAGATCAGACTGAAATATTAAAAAAAAACAGGAGCAAGTAGCACTATACGTACCAAGGTGGTAAGTTTGAAAGCCTCTCAAGAGGATCTTAATAAATTTTCTTTGAAAAAAAGCTTTATAAGAACATATAAAGGGGATCTATTTCGATGTTTCCTACTTTTTTTTGCAATGTTTATTATCATTCTTTGGAATTTTTTTGAGGTGAACTTTTTTAAATTTTAGCCGCATATGGTCCATCCSTTGAGTCCAATTTTCGATGACAAGCGCTATGTTTTTCTTCAAGACTTGAATCGATGCGMTATTGTCCGCATGGGCTTTAGACTCTACACATTTCCACAGAAAAAAGCCGAACATTGTGATATCATGCGAKATTGGTGACCACCAAATCGTGATTTTTGYTGAATACTATTGCAGCTCTTGAATYTTTTCAGATTGTTCTTCGTTACAAATGTGAACATTKYGCTTGTTTACATTCCCATTTAGCCAGAAATGGACCTCATYGCTAAACAAAATTTGGCCCGAAGGCATCGAATCTTCTTGTAACTTGTCAAGAGCCCATAGAGCGAATCAATGTCGCTCGTAAAGGTCGAACGGCTTCGGTTCTTGCATACGCTATATTTGTACGCTTTTTATTCAAGATGTCGATGTAAAATGGGCCTAGTCGTTCCATACATCAGTCCGAGTGCTGCGAATGCCGCTTAATCGACTCTTCAGGATCTTCGTGTAAACTCTAAATAGTGTGCTCAGTAGGCCGATTATGTTGACCATTAGTTGAGCGAAGCGCAGAACGCGAATTTCTGTATTAGCGTTGAGCGATTTGTAAATGTTGTTCAGGCGTAAGTCTTTCCAATGAAATATAGGCTGYTGGTAGCATAGCATTTAAATGAGGCCATCTATAAGAAACTTGGCCAGCCGTTAAATACAGTGGAAGGCAACGGATCTTATAGTACTCATCGCGTAGGCTGCTGAGACTAACACTTACTCTCCAGTCAATTTTAATAATTTTTCTTAATGAAAAAACATTGAGAACTTTCGTCGYTAAGGCCGGAAAATACATAAGGGGACATTGTGGGGTTGATTTATAACATGACAGGTAATCTTAATCAAAAATATGAGACGACATGTGGAAGCGGGATCTGAAATTTAAATAGTTTTATAGACCATTCAATTTTCCCTCTTTTATTTTTTAGGTACCATATACCACAACACATAATAACTACTTTGGTTAAACYATGCTAGAGGTCACAATTGTTTATAAATGACCAGAAAGCGTGTAAAAACTATGCAAATACTTCCCCACAAATCATTTCGAGAAAAGCAAGAGAATTATTTATGTGCTCAAACAAGTATTGACAGCTTGTACTCAACAGCGAATATGCTATCAAATACATAAATTTTTATGGAAACGAAGTTTCACTTCACGCGCGATTTATCCACCATCTGGCAACCCTTTAGTTTTAGATTAATAGAAGCATCTGCATACAAATTTGCGATTCGATTTTACAGCCAATAAAACCCTCAGCAACGACCTCAAATACAAATGCAAGTGGAAATAAAGGCAAGCACACAAGCATATCGACACACATGCATTTAAACATATATTTATATGTATACATATATGTGTATATATGTAAATAAATTTGTATATGCTATGGACATTGAGACAAAATACTCACTGTAAGCGGCGCACGGTATGCCAGTGTAGGCGTGGGCAGCATGCAGGCAGCGGTGGGTCTTGGTTGTGCACTGCAGCGCCTTCTCGTAAGCGTTGTAATCGGGACTCAAACGGCGTTCCGCCTAAAAGTATGCAAATAAAAATTTAATTTATTACATTTCGCACTACACTTTTCGCGCCGCTTCGAGTGCTACGCATATAAAGTATGCATAATTTTCAATAACTTTCAGCCGGAAGCTCACTTTCAACACATGTCAATCATAATACACACACATATATAAATATTTGTATGTATTTGCATGTAAATGCTTACCTCCTCGTAAACCTCGTTGATGTTCTGGAAATTATAGGTGCCCGGCTTCTGTAGTGCCTTCAGTGTCTCGTAGAGGAACAACTCGAAATTCTTGAATGTGTACTCGCTGAATGGATAGCGCCGCAAGCGYGTGCCCGTCTCACCGCCCAGTGCAGCACATGATTTGTGGTAATCGTCAACGGCGCGCTTCACCAGCACGGCTTCGTTCAGTTTGGTGGAGCGAATTTGAAGGGACTTCAATTCCAGCAGGTGTTGGAAGATCTTGCGCTCCATATAATACCTGCGATAGACAGCAAAACGAGAGGTGATAAAAAGGGCGAGCAAGCACCAACATACACACACAATTATATATAAACAAACGCTTAAAACAAGGCATAAATAAGTAAATCAAAGAGCCACCAAAATACTGGCTAGCATTCAGCAGCTGCTGAAGAGATTTGTCGAACGCGATATATGTGTATGCGTGTGTAAGTGTGAGTGAGGAAGGAGGGTGTTGAGAAAAAGTCATAAAAGTGCCAAAGCAAATAGAGGCAATAGCGCGCTGCTGGCTGACTGCCGCTGTTGTTACGCGATTGGGCTCACCAAGATGATTGTTTTTGTTTTTATTGTTGTTGTCACTTTCTCTTTTTGCATTTTATTCGACTAAGGTGAGTTGTATTGCATTTGACGTGGGAAAAGGGGGAGTGTGGCTGGTTGGCTGATATTTTGTTTGCTTGCGCTACAAAGGCACTGGCTGCTGACAGCCAGCTCTACAAAGGCTTAAGCCATAGCGGGTTTAGAGGAAAGCACTCTACAGTTTAGATTTTTAGGGAGTGGCTGGCACAGCATGCTAAACTCAAACGAATGACGTAGTGAATGTCAATTTTCGACCACAAGGCATCTCACGCGGGTCCCCTCGCTTTGCACTCACCTTCTCGTACCGATTCTCTTCAACACTCTGCTTTGTTGAAATCGCTCATTTGGCTTTAAAATGTTTACGTCAATTCGTCAAATGCAAGAAAATGAAGAAATTATTGTGGAAAAGTATCATAAAATGGCAGGTGAGGCCTGAAGGCATGGGTTTTATTACGGTATCAGATGGTAAACGGTTGAGAGCTTGTAAGAGCAAATATTATGCCGTTAAGAATCGTGTTTTGGTGAAACAGAACTAATTTCGGAAAATAATTCAACAACAACAACTTCGAGAAAAAATAGCAACAAAATACTTCGCAAAAAAAAATGCTTTCAAAATAATTGGGAAGAGTGAAGTCCGTCCAAGAAATGCTATAGACGGGACAAGGACTGAGACTAATAGGTCCTCTTGGCTTTTGCTACAGCGGCCGTATAAACGATCGCAAATTCGGAGTGGGTTTCGTGGTTGAAGGGAGGTGGAATAACATCTGCTTGGTGACTTTAAAGTTAGGTATCTTTGGCACAAAGGCGGAGGCTGACTTTACCCAATAATGAAACATCAATAAAAGGGTTCATACTGATCGACTTAGCGGTGGCACCAATCCAAGCTCCTTCCGTGCGGCTGCAAACGAAAGGATTGGTTTTCGGAAAAAGCAAARCCAATGTGCGTGAGTATGAAGAGCTCGACAAGCTGGCCAACAGGGGTAATGCTCGAAAGTTCTACGAACTTATGTGGCGACTAACAAAAGATTTCAAGACCGGAGCATACTATTGTAGAACCCCCGAGCTATTCAAATACGGTGACGAAAACCTGATAAGGAACTTGCATCAGCTTCTTTGAATATGGTCGTAGAATATGATCCTGTTTTTCAATCATTCCAAATTTTGCTACGGACAGGCTCTGCATCCGCTATGGCTGACTAAAGTAGCAACTATCAATCTCCGAACGTCCATATGATTACTGTCCGATGTACAGTACGTACATGTACGGCCAGCAGAATGGAACGCAAATTTCTCACACCAAGCTCTCGTTTTTCAAGTTTTCAGCGACAACTCGGTACACAAATCCATTTAGCGCTCCGTCCATTTGCGCCACAAAATAACATATTTCGTTGCACGCCGTACATTTGTCTACAATTCCAGTGGCACTGCGCATGCATTTGTGCAAACTCACTTAGAAAAATGATGACTATTAAGAGCTCGTCACTCCAACCACACTTCCCGAGCAGAAAGAGACGTACAAATTGGTCAAAGTGAGCAAAAGTGAAAAACCCGTTACTTTGCTTAGTTGACGCCGTTGGCGTCGCGCTGCTACTAATTCTAGCATCGTTGTTCTTTCCTGGGTTYTTGAGTTGGTTGCTTTCACCATTTCGTATATTTTCGCTTGAWTTTCTTTCGCCATTGTTTACGCGGCATTTGTTGCAAGGTGCACAGCAACACGTTGTACTTGTCAAATTTGTGTCACTAAGTGGAAGTGTCGCAGTATTGCACGTCGCCAACACAGCCGCATAGCACAGTACACTCGCACAGCCGCTGGCATATAAATGGAGACAAAAAGCTCAAATCTGCTATTCAACGTTAGAGGGCAAAGCACGCAGTGGGAGCGGTAAGGAAATAAACGAAAATGGCTCGAAATATTTATGCCAAGGCCAACACAGAGCCCGCAGAAAAACTTAGCAACAACAATATAAAAAAACMACGGACTATTTAACGAATGAAATTCAAAGCAATCCGAGCAAAAGTGAAGAGTAAAAACTGTTGATCCTTGCGAGTGGCTAAATAGTGAGTGCGCGCTGAGGGGGGTGACTGCACAGCGCACACCGCTAGGGCTGATGAATAGCCAACACGACGAAACCGAAAATTGCAACAAAAAGTAGCGATGCGACAAAAACGCTGCGCCGCATWCTTTTATGACTTAACCGCCGCTGAGCACACCATGGCAACGAACGGCATTCGCACGCCCACACAATTCGGCTCGATATGCGCTTTCGCTTGGTTCRCARGTAAAGTTGCCGTTGGGAAATCGTTAAAAGCACTTAAAAGGCCATTCGTACGAAGATAAAGGTGAAGTGGGTATTTAAGATTACAGTTGGTGAATACCGCCTCGCCACCCTCGCCATTTGATCCATGCGAAAAAAGCCTGAACTACGCAAACAAGACAGGTTAGTAGGAAAAGTTAAAAATCTGCGCCGATTTGTTGTTGTTGCGTGTGTAGCACCCTGCAGTGTCATAGGGTCAGCGGTAATTGCTGAGTAAGCCATGCGGCATCAGTTTGGGGACCCGGTGCCTMTTTGCCTCTTCAGCATTTGCGTACTCAAAAATTCGTTTTTCCGCTGCTTGTTGCCACTCGTTGGCTATTCGGAATGCCGCGATTTGCGACTTAGTGACGATGGAGTGTTTATATTTTCTTTCGRTTATTTTCTTCTATGCGTAATGTGTATTGCCTAGTATTTTGCTGCGACTTATGTGGCAGGAAATGGCATTGAGTCGATTGCACGTTTCAATTTGGATTTCTGGCAACGAAATTATTAATTCTGACTTTTCATGGAAAACGCAAGAAGTATGCGCTGATTTCTTCGAATTTGCAATATAAAATAAGCAGTAAGTCATCTTCATCAAACAGTTTTTCACCAGAAATTGAAATTGCTTTCTGATTTTGCAGCGGGAATCTTCCCTTTGCTGACAATTCTTGGAGTGGCTAATTTCGCTGACACAAACCAATAACATTTTAAGAGTCAAGCTATGGCAAAAGCTTTTATGAATTAATAATATTAGCTGCTTACTATTAAAATTGCAGTTTAGATACGGCAGAAGAGATTAATTTGCAGCGAGAAAGAGAGAGGAAGAGATAAAAAAACACAAGGAGACGAGAGAAACCGAGTAAGAAATTGAGGTAGATAGATAGGAGAGAAATCGAAAGAGAGGAAGACAGAGGTCATCGACTTTAATTTGAAAACATTAGCAACCGATCTTTTTGAAGCAGCAGTATAATATTTAACTACAGAGTGGCCTTAAATTGTACTGAGAGAGAAAGAGGAAGGGAGAGATAGAAGAAAACCCAGATAGAGCAAGCGTTCCAAGGCCTCTGTTCTCGCACGATCCGAAATCCCCTTCTATGCTATATCATACAAGTACTTGTCATTGTATTTACTCTGGTATAAATATACATATGTAAGATTATTACTAACCATTTTGCGAAATCATTGATCATGCGTCCATCCTTGAAACAGATTACTTTGAACGTTTCTTGACGAAGTATGGGATACAAATTTTGTATTAGATACTGCCGGAAAAATTCAATTAGACTGCGATAGAGAAAGAGGAGGAGAGAGGAAGAATATAATAAAACAGAGAGAATTGTGAAACTGAGAGGGGGCTAAGAAAATGAAATTGGAATGACTTCAGAAGCGACTTAGAAGGTTTGACGTAGATACCTCTTGGACTTGATTGATTTAGGACCTATTTGTGTGGCATTCCTTAGATAACTTTTAAGTGCAGTTTGAAGATATAGAAAATGGGTTCAATAACAATCTACTATCGACTTAACAACAGGCAATTTGAGTACCAAAAGTGTACGGTAATGAAATCACTTTCAAAAACGTGTTTGTTGTGAAAAAACAAACTGTAGAACATGTCGTGTTTTGCCTTTTCTGCTGTCCAGCTTTCATGTGCGTTCAAACAATACTGCGCCAAGCAAGCACAAAACAACCAAACAACCCTGCAAATAATACAAAATCGAATGTTAAAAGCTCACAGAAGTGCCTCAGTATCTGGACTGGACTTTCTCCTTTCTCTCTAAGCATTACATTTCTAGAGAGGCTGCAAATGTGTCGAACCTGTATTTGCTTGGAACTTTTGCATTTCTTTGGGTAAAGATTTAATCTGAGGAAGATCAAATGAAAACCTTTCGGCATTCTTATTACATGAGATAAAAAATTGTCTTGCCATATATCCTCTCATGCTTCTCTTCAATAAGTGTCCGTCTTCTGGTAATTTTATTTCAGATTGGAAATTGAAATTCATTACCCCTAACCCTAAAGGTGGTAGAAATGATATTGTTTCCAATTATAGACCTAGTTCTAAACTCCCTACCATTTACAAAATTGTTGAGTGCTCTGTTAAAAATAAGTTTTTCTTTGCAGTTAAGCCAATCATTAACAGCAATCAGCACGGGCTTTTCTCTGGTCGCTCTACTCTGCTCAATTTCGTGGTTTTAGTAATTATTACATGTATGCCTTCTCCGCTGGATTTCAAATAGATTATGATTACACAGATTCACAGATTTCTCTAAAGCCTTTAAAGTTTCACACAATATTCTAATTAAAAAATTATTATCTTAAAGTTTTTCTCTCTGCCTTCTTGTAGTGAATCAAATCATATTAGCAACTG